AGCACCAAAATGGACTTTCTCATGCTACTTGCTAATTGATACTCTTATCCAAGATATCACTCTTCTAGTTTCTAAAGACATTTGTTTAGCTTGTTCTTCAATTCAGTGTGAATAGAAATTTTGTGTGTGTATCTACCTATATCTATATTTTATCTATATCTATATCTACATCTATCTATCTACCTACCAACCTACCTATCTGTAGCTTCTTTCACCAAACATTATGGCTATGGGATTTATTCATGTGTGTGTGTGTGTGTGTGTGTGTGTGTGTGTGTGTGTGAAAAAGTAGCTCTTTCTTTTTAGTGTCATGAAGAATTCAAAGAGCATGCTATGTCACAATTTACTTATCTATTCTAAAGCTGTTCAACATTTGTTTTCTGGTTTTTGACCACTATAAATAAAATTATTATTGACATTTTTGTATATCTCATTGGAAATATGCCCTCAATTCTCTTGAATACATGCCTAAGAGGTAAATGTCTAAGTTGTAGGCTGGCATATAATTAGTTTCATCAGATGATGCTTGAAAATTATTGCATTAGAGTCAGGAAAATTGCATTGATGACAATTACCTCTACACATTATTATTCTTATTCTGGCAGTACTACCTCATATAATTAAGTTAGAAAAAACATGAAATAAAAAGATTAAAATACAGAATTAAAAGAAAAACTCAGCATTTCCACATGACATCATAATGTATCTAAATAATAAAAGATAGTCAATGATAAACCCAACTTAAATAATAAGAAATGCAGTAAATTAGCACTTTGTGAAATTAATATGTGAAAATAGCATTCATTTACACAAATGAAAGCAATTAGAAGACAATGAATGAAAAACTCTATATAATGATAATTGAGGTAAATATTTAAGAATAAACACAAAATATAATTCCACCAATACACAAGGTTCATTCCTGGCTTAAGAAATGTGCAACTCAACACCAGGAAGACAAACAATCCAATTAAAAAATAGGCACAGGACTTGAACAGACACTTCTCCAAGGAGGACATACAGAGGGCCCATAGGCATATGAAAGGATGCTCAACATCACTAGCCATCAGAGAGATGCAAATTAAAACCACAATGAGATACCACTTCACATAGTCAGAATGGCCATCATTAATAAATCAACAAATAAGTGTTGGAGAGGATGAAGAGAAAAGGGAACCCCTAGTGCACTGTTGGTGAGAATGCAGACTGGTGCAGCCACTATGGAAAACAGTATGGAATTTGCTCAGAAAACTAAAAATGGAACTGCCTTTTTGACCCAGTGATTCCACTGATGGAAATATACCCTAAAAATCCTGAAACACCAATTCGAAAGAACCAATGTACCCCAGTGTTCATAGCAACACAATTTATAATAGCCAAGTGCTAGAAGCAACCTAAGTGCTCATCAGTAAATGAGTGGACCAAAAAACTGTGGTACATTTAAACAATGGAATTCTATATGACAGAAAGAAAGGAGCTCCTACCCTTTGCAATAGCATGGATGGAACTGGAGAACATTATGCTAAGTGAAGTAAGCCAGGTGGTAAGAGACAAATACCATATGATCTCACCTTTAACAGGAACCTAATCAGCAAAACAAAAAAGCAAGCAGAATATAACCAAAGACACTGAAATTGAGAACAGGTTGACAGTGAGCAGAGGGGAGAGGGTAGAGGATTATAGGGGAAATGGGTGGAGGGTTTGCAGGAACAATTATAGAGAACACATGGACAATGACAAGGTGGGGGAGGTGAAAACAGGGGAGGAAGGAAGGAGGGCTGGGGTGGTGGGGAGAGGTGGGAGAAAAAGGCAGAAAATTCTGCCTTTTGTACTTGAACAACAACAATAAATGTTTAAAAAATAAAAATAAAACAAATACTCTCTTACAAAAACTGAGAGGCTTTATTCTTCATTAAAAAGCTCTTGTTGCTGAAGTTTTTTCATTAGATTCCAGATTTCTGGAAAGTTTGAATCAGGTGTTTTTTGTCAGCTTTATCCTTGGTTTAGCGAAGCAATGTTTTGGAGTTCTTTACTCTGCCATTATCATTCTATAACAGTTAAATGGAAAAAATATTTTTTATTATTTATATACTAATAATACTGTCAAAGAAATATGTTTCTTTATATTTTAATAATGCATAGTGACTTTTAATAATGGAATTAATATGTGAAATAAATTAATTTCAAATGGAAATTCCTTTCTCTTCTAGGCTCCAATTAAAAAAAGCTGACACTGCCTCTAATCATTGCAAACATGTACAAGATTGTCAGTTTTTTGATGGTAATTGCAAAGAATGTGGTTTTTGTGTATGTAAGAAAACACTAACTAGAGACTGAATCATTCTTATGTGGGATATAAAACTGAAAACAATACATGAACAAACAACAAAAATTTGTAGACGTAGAAAACAATATGGTGATTACCAGAAGCAAGAGGGTGGGGGTAGTAAAGGGTAAAGAGGGTCGGATATGTGACAGAGCATGGTTTGACTCTGAGTTTTGGACTTTCAATGCAATGTCCAGATAATGTAGTATAGAACTGTACACTTAAAAAATATATAATTTTATTAACCAATTTCACCCCAATAAATTTAGTTGAAGAAGAAGAAAGAGGAAATATTGAAAATTTTGCAGGATAATTTCTTCACTTTAAGAAAAAAATTATTTACCTAAAAATATGTATCTTTAAAATATTAAATCTCACTTAAGATTTGGTAGTAAATAAGCCATGAATTAAATTTAAACATAATAAACAAGCAGGACTCAAATATATGACTAGTAGTTAGTTACATGATATAAAAAAGGGTAAAGATGAAAAGAAAAATTAAGAAAGCATAAGAAGTTAAATATTTCATAAATTTGTAATGACTGAAGTTTAAATTTAACTGGTGGAAGAAATGGATAAATTTCTGTAAACATACAATTTCCCAAAACTGAATCAAGAAGAAACAGATCATTTGAACAGACTGATGAAAACTAATGAAATTGGTGTGGTAACCTAGAAAATGTCTAATGATTCACATTTAAAAAAATTTTTTTTTATTTTATATTTTATTTTATTATTTTATTTTATTTTATTTTTATTTTATTTTATTAATTGTTGTTGCAGTACAATTTTCTATCTTTTACTCCCATCCCAACCCACCCACCCAGCCCTCCTGTCCTCCCTCCCATTTCCACCCGCCCCTAGTTTTCATCCATGTGTCTTTTATACTTGTTCTTGTAAACCCTTCCCCTTTTCCCCTGAAATTCCCCTGAAATTCCCTCTCCTCTCCCCTCTGAACACTGTCAGTCCATTCTCTATTTCAGTGTCTTTGGTTGTATTTTGCTTGTTTCTTTGTTTTGTTGTTTAGGTTCCTGTTAAAGCAGAAAGAAAGAAGGAGCCCTGCCCTTTGCAACAGCATGGATGCAACTGGAAAGCATTATGCTAAGCGAAATAAGCCAGGCGGTGAAAGACAAATACCATATGATCTCATCTTTAACAGGAACCTAAACAATAATAATTCACATTTTAAGTCCACCAAATACTTCAAAGCTTTAAATAAATTGAGTAACTATATGTGGCTTTACATGGTGTAGATGATACCGGCCTGCAGTATCCAACTCGGCTGCGGATGTTCGTTGAAACATGCTAAAACATACACAGAGACAACCAGGTCCTGTGGGAGAATTGGGACAGAATGGCCACTCCTCACATGGGGAGCACCTCATGTCCATACCCAAGCAGATTTTTATTGAGAAAACAGACTTAGTTTGTGGATTCACAGTCTGGCAGAAAAGATCAAAAGATGTAGGCAGCTTACAAAGGTGGGGACAGAATTCCTGCTGAGAATCCAGGCAAGGTTTGTGGTCTTTAACATATGAAAGAGGTACAAGTTCTAAAAGTTTCCTGCCTGTGTTTTTAAATTCCAAGATAATAACATCCTCCAGCAAAGAGATCTCACAGGATCTTGCATATTCTATGTCCCAGGCCTGATTACCCCGGGGGTCTGCCATTTCTGGTCTGGGCTGTTTCACCCCTGTAGGTCTCAGAATACAAAGATAGCCAGAAGACTCAGATTTCTCACATCCAAGAGCAAAGCCTCAGGCTTTGATAAAGCCAAAGGGGACGGGGGTTGATGTCTGATCACCCCTCACCCCTTCATTTCCACAGCCCCATGAGTCTTGTCCCTGTCATTCCTTCATGAACGTGTCTGTCTTATATTCATTCTCTATCCAAGAGAATTGTTACCCATCATTGACTGCTGTTCAAGCCAGGGAAATAAGTTTTTTCTCCTTCAGTGGCTCCTGGTCTGGAGGTCTTTCACTCAGCCTAAGTCATGGGGAGTTACGGCTTCCTGAGACCAGGCAGGGCGGTCCCCAACAACATGGAACACAAGTTCTGGGTATTTCTCTGTGTCATTATAATATATGACCTACAGGGGGCAGAAAATACATGTGAACTGGAGAGAATAAGCTTCTTCACAAATATGGAAAATGAGGGCTTGGAAATGGTTGTAAAGATCAAGAGGACCTAAGCACTATTCATGACTCTGAAGCAGTCGTGGGAGACTCCCCAAGCTGCTGCATGTATGCAAGTATTATTCCAATTGCCAAGGATGCTGTTATCCTAATGATTTGCCCAAATTTCTACTCATTCTACAGACTTTAACTCAGATTCCATTTCTTCCCCAGAAGTCTTGTAAGGCCACTCTAAATTCAATTCTTATTTCTTTTTTTTTGTAGCAGTCAGTGCCGGGTTCTTATTATAAGGAACAACTCAATTTCTGCAAAATTTCTCATGTACTGTAGAAAATTACTAGTGGCATTTGAAAGTTGAGGGTGTTTTGTTGATTTCTCAACTTTAGAAAAATTTCAAAAATAGCAAATGTAATGAATCCTCATATATTTTACCCACCTCTAAGCATATTTAATTTTCAAATGCACTGTTTGAAAAGTTTTAAAAGCCTTATTAGTTTAGTATTTGTGAATGTTTAATAAAATTATAGTTCAACCATAGGTATTATCAACAGTTTATTAAACTTAAGAATGAATTTGTTCATCACTTAATAAATTAAAAATTATACAAAACATGTTATAGAAGATAAAGTCTTTGATTGTTAGCCTTTGCTTGCAGCTGATTATGGTTTGTGGCATGTCAGGTGAAAAAAATTATAAATATTGGTGGAATTTTCTTCTGGATGTTTTCTTCATGATAAACACTCAGAGAATGGCATTTTTGTTTTTGGATCCTTTATATTTTATGAACAATAAAGTCATCACACAATCCCATGCATGCAGATGTATGTGTTTGGGGTCGAACAGTTTTCTGTGTAACCTTTAAAATTGGAGCCATAAACCACACAGGTTCCATTCTCCATTTCAACCAATGTTAGTCTAGATTAGAGAGAAGGACAAATTACATTTATGACTTCATTAATGCAGAAGGATAAAAAATGAATATTTATTTAAATATAGGTAATGAAATAATATTATCTCAGGAGATTTAAAGACTACACCTAGACTTTCCTAATTTACAGATTAGCAACGTGTAGCTAACTCTGATTATAAACATAAAAATGCATTGTATTATAAATCACATGCTACTTGTGCTGGACTTAGAGGTGAACAGCAAATCCCATGCTGTGAACCAAGGCCAGCTGCCACTAATACCCATCCTGGAGCCACTCAGCAAGAGTTACAGGTTATGCTGAAGCCAGATGCTGCTTGTTTTAGAGATTTTTGCAAAGTCCCTGAGAGATTTTAGGAGAGTCAAAAGCATGGGCCAAGACAGGTCCTTCATTTGGAAAAACCACTGGAAACAGCTTTGGTGCGTGTGGAAGTTTCTTGGAGAGGAGTCTCAGGGAATCACTAGGGCAGGACAAACAGTGTGATCCAGGTTGATGGAGACTCAGATATGGTGCCTGGCTGCTGGCTCTGCTGAGGGAACAGCTCAGCAAGGAAGCAAAGACCTCTGTCAGCACTTCTGTCTGGGAGAAAGGTGTGTGTCCTCAAGCTCTCCCAATGCCAGACATTTTAGTTCCTCCCTGTATGTCTCTGGTGTCTTTCAAGTTTCTGCCCTAGCACAGGTACTCAGAGGGAGTGAGTCAGAATAATTCCATGGATGGGCCCTGTAAGAGGAAGCCCTGGTAATCATGCAACCCCCTGTCTCAACCACAAACTCCACTGGTTTTTATAGCCAGAAGTTTTGTGGACTTCTCTTCCTGGCACAGAAAACTTGGATCAGAGAATCCTGGAGTGGGGCTGGGACCCTTAGCTCCTCAGGGGGAACCTCCACAGCTGAGATATCTCTCCAATGCTTATCTAATAGTCACAAGTGTGGGATCAGCCCATTCTGTGTTTTACCCCTCTTACAGCCTGGATGTGGCTTCTTTAAATCTCTAGTCATAAGACTTCCATTCAGACAAATTTTAGTGATTCTAAATAATGGTTGTTTTATAGCTTAGTTGTAATTTTGATTTGGTTGTTGGAGCATATGAGTACCACATTTTACTCTGCCACCATTTTGACCAGAAGACTTCTAAAGTAGCTTTATTTTTCATAATCCCATACTGGAAACTACCCAAATATCCATCATTATGTGAAAGAATAAACATACTGAGCAACACCTATAGATGGAAAAGCTCTCAGGCATTAAAAGAAATAAGGTCTTTAAACATGTTATGAGGTGGCTAATCTAAAAATAATATCCCGAGTAAAAAAGCCAGACATGAAAACAGTACATACTGTCGAAGTCCATTTATGTTTTTCTGTAATTACAAACTAATCTATAGTGACAGAAAGCAGATTAGTTTCCTGGAGTCAGAAAGAGGTAGGTAGAATGACATGAAGGAGGTCTTATAAAGGTGCAAAGAGAACATTTTACAGGTGATAAATATGCTAATTATCCTGATAGTATTAATGGTTTTTTTGATTACTCCATTTGTCAAAATTTATCACAATTGAACACTTTAAAAATGTGAACTTTATTGGATGCCAATTATATCTCAACAACTCTGGTAACAACATCATGAAAGAATGAATGTGACACTTAATCTCTCTGCTTTAGACTCCTCATCAGTACCATAAGCATGGTATTAGACAAATCTTGCACAGTACTTAGCACATAGCAATCAATAATGGAACTCAATATTATAGGTATTTGCTACTCTGCTCCACATGGTACTGAATCTAGTCCCTCAGAGTTTTTGGTTGACTCTATTATCATATGGGAATGTCCTGGCACTGTGTGAAGGAAAATGTGATAGTTACATGATCATAGGAATAGCTTAGAGACAGATTCACAAGGAGACACCTCTTGGTAGAGACTTACTGACTGGGAGAGAAAATGGAGCCATCTTCCCACTGCCAGGATCCATTTGCTGGATTTTGTACGAGTCCCATCCAATGATAGGACTTCACCAGTTTGAGGAAATCCTGTTTGAAATCACAAACAAAGTCAGTTCTCAGAATTTTACTACAGACAAAACCATAATCATTTCATCATTTTCCCAAAACTTTGCAAAATGCATTCTGTCCTCTGGCATAATTCTAACTTAAACAACACACATGTAATTCCTACAGTTTTTGTCTTTTCTTATTTTTACTGCTTTGTTATTTTTTAATGCAGAAGGATTTTGGGTGGATATATCTTAGCCTGGTGTCTCTAAGTGATATTTCAGGTTCATATTCCAGAGAATTTCCAAATATGTTAGGACTAAACATAGGAAGATGAATTAAAACAATACCTAACCTGCTCTTCTTTGCTATATATCTTCAGGAGACTGGAATTGTGAGACATACAAGAAGCTTGGCTCTGAAGCCAGCTTTTTTTCTCACTAAAAAATTGGTAGCAGTTGTTTCTATGACATATCCAGTTTTGAGGACACGGGCCACAGTAAGTTTCTAGAAAGGAACAATATATTATTAATTTTCCACATGTCTGAGTATTAAGTAGATTTTTTAAATAGACAGGTTATATAAGTTTTTTTATTCTAACTTTAAAATTCCAGATATTAAAACATTATTGCCACACCCAATGACCTAACTGTACTTACTTATAGATAGATAGATTGATAGATATGCCAATTAACTGTTCTCTACTTTTTTACAAGTATTCCCTCATTGTAAAAATATAATAAAATTTTTAAAAAGCTATAGTGAATTGCAGATAAGAATTGTCTTTCTATAGACTTCATTTTTAATTAAATGTATTGAAGTGACATTGGTTAATAAATTATATTATATATGTTCCAAATATACATTTCTATGATATATGATCTGTCCTACATACTTTCTTGGTATCAAGCATTGATATATGCTTAAACCCCATATACACAGATACATGCAATTTGTGCTTCGAGGTGTGGAGCATAGGAGTAGAAGAGAGTAGCCAAGGAACATATATGTGCATATGCATTGCCCTTGGACATAGAGAATGATTCCTGGGGTAGGGCTGATCAAAGAGGGAAAGTGGGAGGATGGAGGATATTTTTAATAGTGTCTATAAGTTAAAAATGAAAATAATTATAATATCAGAAAACTTTCTCTTACCATTCAAAGAAATTGGAGCTGCTTCATTGAATAATGCTATTAAAATAATCATAATCATTAGAAGGTTTGTATAGCTGCAACATAGTCCAAACAAAAATAAAAATAGTTGACAAGTTGCTAAAGTAGTAGGTAAAATATAAGAAAACATTATATTTTCCTTGATATTGCTAGTTAATGCTGTGTGCTTCTGAATGTTCATCAAAGTAATACATTGCAATTGTTAGATCAACAGTGAAATCCACTGTTGTCACTCACAGTTTATTATGATTATGGAGCTGCATATCGTCACCATCACAATGAAATGGATCCCCATAGCTAGAGCAATGGACCGGGCAACAACAAATGGAGATGCTGTCAAAGAAAAAAGAGTGAGAGAAATGAGAGAAAGATGAAAGGCTTCTGGAATTCCTATGTTTAATGTAAATGTTAGAGCGGTTTTTATGTGGGGATAATAACAGTGCTTTTTCTTCCATTGGTTTTTTTCAGAACAGTTAAAATAAGTTCTTTGTAAATGATTTAAAATAAGACTATAAAATGTAATATTACCTCCTATTCCTCTCTACAAGTTCCCCAGTTCACCTTTAGAATAAATCATAGTTATCATTTTTAAAAATTTCCATGCAGATAAAAGATAATAAATACAAAGAGTTCCTCTTAATCCCCTCTCGAGGACATATTTAAGAAACTATAAAATATTCTATCATATTTTTACTTAAGAAATATCCTAGTGAATTTTCTCTTCATGTCTTGTAAAGTTGTCAAATTTTTATAAATAGCTTCTTGAATTGTGCTTCATTGTTGTATGGACAAAATATCATCAATAGACTGTCAACTTTTTCCCAATGCATATTTAAATTGTTTCTTTGTTTTTGTTATTAATATAATAATATAAATAACATTTTGTGCACTCCTGTGCATACTTTTTAGTACCTTTCTAGGAGAAATTCCCAAAAGGGTAAATACTGAGTCAAAGAGCATTTGCTTTTTAAATTTTTGTAATGATTGAAAATTTCAGTCCAAAAAGGCTATACCTATTTATATACTACCAATATAAAAAAGCCTTCTTTCTTACACTTTCCTCATCATTAAAAGTGTACGAATCTGGTAAAAAATATTATTTTAAAGTTTTAACTTTATTTCTCTTGTTATAAATAAATAACAGAAGATAAGCATCTTTTGCTGTGGTAAAATTATTTACATTTATTTCCTTCAGACTTCTCTTATTTTTATTAATTGGTTTTATTCCCACTTCTTTTTTTTTTTTAAAGATTTTATTTCTTTATTTTTAGAGAGGGAAGGGAGGGAGAAAGAGAGAGAGAGAGAAACATCAATGTGCGGTTGCTGGGGGTTATGGCCTGCAACCCAGCCATGTACCCTGGCTGGGAATTGAACCTGTGACACTTTGGTTCGCAGCCTGCGCTCAATCCACTGAGCTACGCCAGCCAGGGCTTATTCCCACTTCTTAGGTATAGAATATTAGTTTTCTTGCCACATGTTTTCCAGTACTCACCTCAGATACCACTTTTGTTTTAATTTTATTTATGAAACTTTGGGGGTGCTAAAATGGATAATGGTTGACTTGTTAAAACCATTATGCTTTCTTCAATATGAATAATACTGCTTTCGCTATTCTGAGTTTATAAAATAAATTACCCATGTTCTATCATAACTTACATGGTTTCCTTTTTTATTTTAGTCTATGTGGTATTTGTATGTGTGAAATAAGTGAGATAGAAACTCAAATTTATAATTTTTTTCTTTTCCAAATGGTCATTGAATTTTTCTAATATTATCTGCCAAATAAATCAGTGTTCTCATTGATATGAAATACTACCTTTAGCATACAGGGCATTCTTATATGTGTTTGCATTTATTCTTTAATCTGATTTCTATTCAAATGATATATAAAATATCCTAACTTTTATAATACACTTTGATGCGGACATCGACCCACAGTGTCTGCATCATTATGGATGAAATGAGACATTCACATGGACTACTGAGTCCTGTGGAGGAAAAGGGTGAGCATGGCTTTTCTCTCAAGGGGACCAAAAGCCGCAGCCTGTGCCAGGACAGGCTTTTGTTGGGTTTCTCCACCCATTACAGGATGGTCCTCATTTACTATGCACAGGTTCGCTTTAGGTGGTTACCTTTTACAGAAAACAAAGGAGCCAATGCCGCTAATCACATCACAGAAGAAGGATATTTGCAAATGAAAAGGCAAAAGGGTTGAACCAGTTACACTCATCCTTGGAAGGGTTAGCATGGATTTTAGGAAGTTACTTTGCAGTAAATGTCCTCAATTCAGGGTGAAGGAGTTTTAGCAAAAAGCAAGACTCATAGCGGCCTAGGTACATTGCAGGCCTGATTCCCCATGGGAGAACCTATCCGTGGGCATGGGTCCTGTGCATCTCTTAATGGGAGTTGGGCCCATACCATGCAGAGCGGCCTCCTACACACTTGAGTACTTACAGTGCCCATAATATTATATTACATTTCTATTCCAAAATATTTTAGTTTTCATTACACTTCATTATGCCTAAAAAACTTTAAAATCAGCTTTTCAAGAACCTGCTCTATTTAAAATATAATGCATTGGTCTTTCAACAGAATTCCATTAAATGTAGAAATATAGAAATAATTTACATCTTTAAAATACTGTTTTTTATCCTTGATTGGTTTCTTTTGCCATTATGGATGTCTTATGTTCACTGGTACAACTTTAAAGTAATAAACTTATTTCCATTATTTTTAAGTAAAAAGTCAATTTCTGATTTTTGGTCTTATAAATATGACATTTTCCTTTTATCACGTTTTTCTCGTTTTGTAGACAGCTGATTTTTTTTTTTTTGCATTTTTTGGTCTTGTTCAAGTACAGTTGTCTCCATTTTCCCCCTACCAGTCCCCATTCCCAGTCATCCTCACTTCCCATCCTTGATCCTACTCCTTTTGGTTTTGTCCATGTGACATTTATATATGGTTTTGAAAACCTTTCCCCCCTTCCCCTCTATTTATCCCCTCACACCTCCCCTCTGGTTACTGTCAGTTTGTTCTTAATTTAAATTGTAGGCAGCTGATTTTTACATCTTATTTTTAATCAGGTCCACATATCAAATTTCCTTATTGTTTGTCAGTTTTGGGGTTGGTGAAGTTTTGAGGTTTTAAAAATATTTTAAGTCGTATGTTTTTACTAGTAATATTAATTTCAACATTTTATTCTAATTTCAGATCATTTGCTTTTTTTCTTTCCTTGGTCATGTACATTGGCTAGTACCAGCAAAATCATCAATATTAACCAAGAATAATGAGAATAAAATTTCTTGCCTTTTTCTACTTACAATGAAAATAGTGTAAGCATTTATCAAGAAGCATAATGACAGCTTCTGAGCATATATCTAAAAGCAGTATTTATATTCTAGAGGCTTTGATAATTAAGTTCTTTTAAACTAAGGATTTATAAATTTTTATCCAAAATCTTTACAACATTATACACATGATATACAATCTTTGATTATTACATCTGATGCGTTTTCTATAATTAACTCTTGAAAGTGACACAATTTGATGATCATTTATTTTTTCACATATAATCAAAACTTATAGGTGACAGTAGCCTATTATTTTCCTTTTTGTGTAGCCTATTATTATATAATAGGAATATAATAGGAATAGTATAGGAATAATAGTAGCCTATTATTATATAATAGGAATATAATAGTAGTCTATTATTTTCCTTTTTTCAGGCTTCATCTTCAATCATATTTTTCTTGATAAAGTACAGACAGCGAATCCTCTTCACTGCACAGTAACCTTTCTGTATATCACAGTCCAGTCACTGCTGCTGTGCTGTTTAACGACATGCCACCGACAGGTGTTGTGTATTTCTCTTCTCTTCTGTTTATTCGCCCCTCCTGATAGCTTGCTGTTCAGTGAGCCCTTAGAAACGGCAGTCTTAGTTGTCATTGCTATGGTAATCTTACCTCTTTTAGGGCATGAAAAGCTCATCAATTCAACAATTTCTTCTCACTTTGCACATATTCCAAGGACATCAAACTTAATCTCACATCTGCTTCTCTCATGACGGCAAAATTAAACTGAATGTTTATCCCCGATGATCTCAGAGTTTCCGATTTCACCTGAAGATGGCGAATGGAATGTAGTACTTACGGTTTCCCCCAGATGTGTTCGTGATCAATGTGGATCTTTTCTTTTGTCCTGGTACAGAAGTAGAACGATTTTCAAGTTTAAGTTTGTAATTGTGTGATTCACTCATCTCTGGAGAAACACAAATCAAGCCAACATGAGTCATGACTTTTCTGCTTCTGTGATTTTCAACTTTAAACTTTAACTTGCCATTTCTACCCTTTTTCTTTTAAATTATATCACCAAGTTAATTTTGTTTTATGTTATTTCATTACTATATTTTTCACTTTATAATATAAATAAAATTATATTTATTCTGTAACAAAATATCTTAGCAATATCTTATGCGCTATTAACATAAGTTCATTGTAACCATGAATTAAAATAAAGACTGTATAGAGAAAAGATAGGGTCTTAGGGAATTAAACATTGTGTTTAGTTTATAGGGCCACATTTACTAACTTAATAACTTCACAAATTGCACAAAAATAAAAAAAAGAAAGAAAGGGACAAAAGAAGGAACAAAAGATGTCAATACACTGTGGTATGGCCATCTTAAAAGTGAAATAAAATAATATGTACTTAGTATCAACAACATCAGTCACATAGTAAACACTTAGTAAAGGTTAGTGTGTCTAATTTTCTTCATAGTGAAGGGCACGCAAAGAATAAAATAGTGTAGTCTAAAACTTGAGAATAAAGACAAAGAATCTTGCATCTGAACAAAACAAGAATCATTTTGCTCTCTTCTTGAAACAGTAAATGTATTAAATATGTAAAAGCCTTTTATAATTGAAATGTTAATCTTAATTACCTTTGAGATGTAAAATTAAACTAAAGCTGTACATGTATTACATAATGTTATACATACAATATATAATGTATGTATGATGCAAATATGTTATGAATAAAGAAATTGAATTTTAGAAGTGATCAATATGGTATTACTTATATAAAATAATGCCACCACTCATTTATAATACTTTTAGTGTTATACTTTGTTTAAGAAACCCTTTAAAATCTATGTCATTTTATTTGAGTATCATAGAAATCCACTGAGATAAATAGCACATGTTTTATATCTCTAGTTCACATAAAAATAAAAACTTAGGTACATAGATGGTGTATTACCCCAGATCTCAAAACTAGAGACTGGTAAAAGTGTCATTAATTCAGTTCTTCTAACTCCCAATTCTGTTTCTATCGCTGCTTCAGACTGCCTCAGATTGGGAGAGTTTACTTTAGGTAGTTAAGAAAGTAAAGGAGGAACAAGCTTTCAAATTTTTAAAGACTTGATTTAAATATAACATTAACATAACATGCCATGAATATAAAGTGAATATAAGTCAATCTGAATAAATCACTTTTTAGATATGCTAGTATCAAATTCTGGGCATATATTGAAATTATACATAGGCCAAACTACACATTTATGTGGAAAGAACATACACATGTGGTGATGAGCCCACCGATCTTGGACCAACCCCATCATACAATTGTGACTTCTTATCTGCCACAGAAATGAATCCAAATTATTTGCTACTGAATAAAGTAAATCACTTATTTTTTTTTTGTTTTCTTTCTTTGTGATATGGAGAAATTTCCTCCATGAATATATTTAAAAAGGAACAAATGAAAATGAGAAAATAAAAAGTCAGGCAAATAATTTCAAATTTTATCTTGGTTACAAAATGGTAAAAATATACAATGAGTTTTAAAATTTGCCTACATGAAGATACTTAATAAAAACACGGTTTTCATCACTGATATTGGGTGACAACACACATAGGTTATACTTGTTTATTTAATTTAGTGATAATTGCTTTCAGTATATCATTTACAAAGGTAATCTTAAATTTGTTTGTACAGTAACATTTCACACTGTCTAGCAGAGCTCTCAGAAAATATAGCTATTTAATAAATATGTGTAGTGATTAGATTGTAAAATAAAATGTTTTATATTAAAATGTAATAGTTGAAAGCAACAGATATAATTTACTTTATTTTGTAAGTAAAGTTGTGTGTTCCATAAACTAAGTACCTTGCATAAGAGCACAAAATTCATAAAAGTGAGCATTCAAATTGAAATTCAATTTTTTATTCTAAAATGTAAAGATTCATTCTTACAGTTTTGTTTACAGACAAGACTTTATCTTATAGCAACACTATAACTTCTGATTCTTTAATATTTATCCTAATTATCTTTCATTGAATTAAGTAAGAGTACACTTCATAAGTAATAAGCATCCTTTGCGTTCAGTAATTCTATTCAAACACTCAAGAAACAATTAGAATTACTTTGTTACATAAATATTTTCAGAAATTTTCTTGAGGTTCAAATCTCAAGAATCTCTCATTTCTTGAATAATAGTTCTTAGAAACATTTAAACACAGAGACACACACCTGATCAGAGAAGAAACGTCCTGCTTTCTGTGCAAAATTCAGGCATGTCTTGAGCTCCTAATTTAGAACTGAGCCAAGAGATGCCCAATCAATTTTTTGATGCCGAGATAAATATGAAAAACATTACTCTAATCTCATTTTCCTGTTGAAAAAAAACAGCACAAGCCACAATACTTCTTTCTGCCCCTTCACTACACAGACATTTTACTAAGCGAAGAAATAAATCTAATGACTTAAAAATGATGAATTGATTAGTAAAAAGTGTACCTGAGTTTTGAGAATCAAATGGTAAAATTACATAATCTCTTTTTGAACCAAAAATAAAAGAGTTTAGCATAACTCCATCCCCATATTCTTATTGGCTGACATTGAGATCCTGCCCGGTGATTGGTGGTTGTCTTTGTTATTTATTAGGTGGGTGCTCAGTGTATTAGGGGCTGGAGACATTCAATACTTTTATTATATAAAAGCTTTTCTATATGCCCTTCAGGCACGTCCTGGCAAGAACCTGTAAGACTGGTTTAGAAAGGCACTATATAGGTCAATATAACAGAACAATTCAAAGGGACCATTACTTATAGAGGTGTTGCATGAACAATGTGATTAGCAATAAATGAGTAATAAAAAAAGGGTTGAAAATACTGTGTGAAAAAAAGAAGAAAGTAAATAAACTTGTTAATCATCCTGTATACATGCTATTATAAGTTTGAGTGGCATTATGTATGCTATAATATGTAGGATGAAACTAAAGAGAAATATTTTTATGTTTGTGAACATACATATGTATGCACACAAACATAAAGATATATATATGGCATTATATGTATTTATATATAATCTTTTAATTATGAAACATAAGAGTGTACTAAATAAAAATTCTATGATAAATCATCATATGCTTATCTTCAATAATGATAAAGTTTTGCCAGTAATATTTCACTTTTGATATATGTGGATGTCTCAGATAAATCTCTGCTCTTAAATAAGGTCTTTTTCTCCTCTTTTTTGTGAACATCACTTAATATATTACTCCCCCTTTATTATTCAAAACCATACCACAAAATTTTATGTCAGAATAACAACATAATCCCCTAGAGCAAGGGACATAAAGGAAAGAATAAACAAATGGGATCTCATCAAAATAAAAACCTTTTGCATAGCTAAAGAAAACAGTATCAAAATAAAAAGAGAACCAACTGTATGGGAAAACATATTTGCCAATGATACCTCAGACAAGGGTTTAATCTCCAAAATATATAAAGAACTTACATGACTCCACTCTAAGAAGACAAGCAACCCAATTAAAAAACGGGCAAAGGACTTGAACAAACACTTCTCCAAGGAGGACATATAGAGGATCCAAAGACACATGAAACGATGTTCCATATTGCTAGCTAACAGAGAGATGCGAATTAAAACCACAATGAAATACCACTTCACACCAGTCAGAATGGCCATCATAAACAAAGTAACAAGCAAACAAGTGTTGGAGAGGTTGTGGAGAAAAGGAGACCCTAGTGCACTCTTGGTGGGACTGCAGACTGGTACAACCACTATGGAAAACAGTATGGAACTTCCTCAGAAAACTAAAAATGGATCTGCCTTTTGACCCAGCAATTCCACTGCTGGGACTATATCCTAGGAACCCTAAAACACCAATACAAAAGAACCTTTGCACCCCAATGTTCATAGCAGCACAATTTACAATAGCTAAATGCTGGAAGCAACCTAGATGCCCATCAGCAAATGAAAGGATCAAAAAACTATGGTATATTTACACAATGGAATTCTATGCAGCAGAAAGAAAGAAAGAGCTCCTACCCTTTGCAACAGCTTGGATGGAGCTGGAAAGCATTATGCTAAGCAAAATAAGCCAGGCAGTGAAAGACAAATACCATATGATCTCACCTTTAACAGGAACCTAAACAACAAAACAAAGAAGCGAGCAAAATATAGTCAAAGACACTGAAATAGAGGACAGGCTGACAGTGACCAGAGAGAAGAGAAGAGGGAATTTCAGGGGAGAATGGGAAGGGTTTACAGAAACAAATTTAAAGGACACATGGACAAAAACTAGGGGGAGGGTGGTAATGGGAGGGAAGTGGGGAGGGATGGATGGGTGGACTGGAATGGGCGTAAAAGGGAGAAAACTGTACTTGAACAATGATTAAAATAAAAAAAATAAAAATAAAGATAAAAAAACTAATGTCTTAATGTTCTGATTTCTAGCTACTCACAATTTCTGTTACATTAAAGAAATGACAGGGAAACTGTCACAGCCAAAGGAGCTTAAAGGTACAGAATGATTAAATGTAATGGATAGGATAATGGATAGAAAAGGGACATTATGTAAGAATTAGGAAGACCTGAAAATAATGCATTCTTTATTTAACAACAGTGTATCAATATCAGTTCACTCTCTGACAAATGTACCACTTACATAACTGTTGTTACATAACTGTTAGCAATAAGGGGAACTGCACATACAGGATGTGTGGGAACTCTCTGTGCCACCTTTATAATTTATTGTAAATGTTAAAATATTCAGAAATAAATAGTTTACTTACAAAATAAGTGGTCAGAGGTTCTTTTGCATGTCACTATGAAAATAATGATAATAAATACACATAGTAAAAAGAAAACTCTAGAAAAAAACAGCTAAAAAAAGCAGAATTACTCATATTTCCTCTTTTTAAAAAGATTTTATTATTTATTTTTAAAGACGGGG